GACGCGTCGGAACGAGGATACGCCGCACAGTGGTCCGAAACATAAAATATGCGACAAAAAACATTACATCTATTTTTTTATTTATTATTATTATTTTTTTTACTTTATTACTAATACTACTACTATTACCACTAAAATACAATATTATTTTTTGTTATTTTTTTATTTTTATTATTACTTCTAATTATAATTTAATTTATAAAGAAACAAATATATTTTTTAAAATTCTTCTGAGCTTTCTTCTGAGTTTTCTTCTGAGTATTCAAGTTCCTTTTCTAATTCATATTCTATTTCATCGGGAACATTAACTAATTTTATAGCTTCTGCATCTAGTTTTTTTTGTATTCTTTTTTTTCATGGCCAAACGCACTTAAATATGGATCAGAGCTAAGTATTAACCTATGAAATAAATCTTCGTTTGTTTTTAAATGAGAATATTTTCTGGTATGGTGTTCGCGATAATATCGGATAACTTTATTTTTAGCTTCTTGAGCTTCCTCAGAAAGTTCTCCTATGGGGATAATGAAGTCTCTGATTATCATAGATCCATGAATAAGAATTTTGTGCATTGAAACAGGCATATAATACCAATTATAAAGTGCAACATATTTTTTAGCTGTCTCCAAACAGTATTGTTCGAATGTATCAGTTTTTATATTGTAATCGGAATTAATAACTTTTAAAATCACAGCACATCTCTTAATAAGATCTTCATCTAGTTCGGTAATTTCTGCTGATAAGGATGGATTAGCAAAAAATCTTCTTGCGGTGTTACCATCATTGGTTGTACCATATCCGGGCTTAGGAATATCGACAATAAGACCCATTTTGTTGCGAAATTTATTTTGTATTAATTTCTTTCGATTTTCCACAATTTCCTTATTATTTTTTGTTATCTTCCATAATTTTATCTCTAATCTGTATGAAATATGCAAGAAACATTCAAAAAAACGAATATAAGCATGAAGAACTGATAAACCAAATCTATACATTTCTGAATTCACAAATCTTTTTTGCACATTTTTTATATCATTCATTTGTGAAATTGTTGCGTGGCAAATGTAACAACGCATTCCAGAAGCGCCTGATAATGCATTGCACACTTTCCCATCTATCATAGTTAAAAATAACGAAAAATTAATCACTCCTAATTTTGAATTATATGATTTTAAATTTTCAATTTGTTTGTTAATATATTGCTCTTCATTTTTTGAAACTTCTGTAGATTCTTGTATCCACTGAATTTGTATTGGTCTACAAAATTGTATAGATGAAGGTCTAGGATTCTTCCAAATTATGTGATTAGAAATACAATCAACTAATCGAAGAGGAACAAGAGAAGTTACGAATAGATTCTCACCTTGTAATATTTCATTTTCAGATTTTTGTTTATGAATCGAATAACCAGAGCTTCCATCAAATCCCCATTTACAATGTAATATAAAGTTACTGTCAGAAATATTATCTTTGTTGGACAATACCGTTCTTACAATACTTTCGCAAGTTTTATCGAGTAAATTTTGCAATGAAACTTCGCAATTATTTTGTGTAATAATAATTTTTTCGGGATAAAATTGCTCTTTGGAATGCATAATTTGATAATATGATGGATATAAATTATATCCATGAGAAATAGCAGATCTCAAAATATTATAGGTTTGTTTAGATAAATTTAATGATATTACTATATATATATATATATATATATATATATATATATATATATATACTTATATTATTGATCTTAATTTATATATATATATATAAATACATTAGAAACTATATGTATATATATATAATACAAATCTTAATAAATATCGATTTATAAAATATAGAGTACAAATTAA